ACTTTGCAATAACTTTTTTTTTCCGCCAGAAGTTGAAATTGACTGATTGAACCTTTTCTCTTTTTTTTGCACATGGTGGCGGAGGCCTAAAGCGAAAAGGTTTTATAAAACCCAGCTGAAGGCCTAGGATTGGAGTGACGGCACACGTGCCCACAGAGAGGGCTCTGAGTGCCGCCTCTGGCACCCATGCCATAGGTTCGCCACCACTGCCCTAGGATATCAAATATCCTGGTAGGGCTGTATTATTGTTATATTTCTCATCTTTCCTTATTTCCTATTCCTTTCGCATTTTATGACTATCACTGTGCTGTTTCTTTCTTATGATTCCTACTGATTGCTTTTATTTAGTATCTTATGACTGTCACTGGGTGTTGTATCTCATAATTTATGCTGATTATGTTTTATGATTATAACCATGATTTATTACTTGTTGCTTGTATGTACAATGAGAGCTGGTGCACTGGAGACAAATTCCTTGTGTGTCTTAGCCAAGGAAGAATATTCTTTTCTATTAATTAGGAGCTGAATAAGCCCTATTGACTGAATAAAAAGAGTCCTTGACTTACCATTCTTTTAGCAACTGTTCAGATTTACAACGGCACTCAAAAAGTGATTTATGTCCACGGTTTTTCACCTAACAACTGCTGCAGTTCTCTTCTCCCAGATCTTATTGGACAAGTGCTAGCCTGCTCGTCTTACCACCTCCATCCCCCCCCCCAAATGAAAAACAATCCGTGTTTTAATTCCAGTTCCTCCTCTATCTGCGCTTTGGTTAATTTAAGCTTTTTTTTCAGAGGTGCTCCTAAACAAACCTCCTCTCAATCAACTCGCTGGTGATGGACCATACACAGGTGCCCGGCAGGACATCCCGATCAAAGACACAGAGCTTCAGCTTATGTTCTGCCTGCTCCAGTTCCTGGATCATCTCCTGCACAAAAGGAATGTCGTTCTGGCAGTAACAGATGAAGGCATCAAACAGCTCAGGGGTATGCCCTAGAAAAGGAAAAAAGAAGAAAGAAAGGAAAGGAAACAAACAAGATCGTTACTGAGCACCAGGCTTCGTTTAAGCCACCATAGATAGATACAGTAGTGGCCAAAATTGTGGAAACCTTTTGGGAAAGGTGTATTTTTGAGGTTTGATGGTTAATAGCACCACTTGTTTGGAGGGGAGTAGTACCATAAAATTATATATCAATGGAAAGGTAATTTAATCAAGAATGTAATGCAACAAAGTTTGTTCAATTATCTGTACTGTATTCTATGAAACGTTATAGCCAAATAACCAGAAAAAGGAAGCACAACTTGTTTAGGTTGATATCAGGTAGCTTTCCTTCATCTGATTGTAGCCAATCAGGTGTTATCTTGTTTTGGCAATGAGCCAATCAGATCACAGTAGGATTCAGTTATTGATGTCATGTACTGAAGCTAAGGACATTTGTCAGTGTGTTATGTGATTGCTGTCAAGTTGGTTGGTATTTTTTTGTGTTATTTCATTTAGTGAGTTTGTAAAACGTAATAAAATTAAAGTAACGGTGCAGAGAGTTGACTGGTTGCCCAGAAAGCGATGTAAAATAGTATTATTAAGTGAACAAAGCTACCGTTATAAAGAAATTAGAAGGAAAATGGGTGGGAACTTAACCAAAGGTGGCATTTCTACCGTACACTTTTCCCAAAAGGTTTCCACAATTTTGGCCACTACTGTAGATAGAGAGATAACCTTTATTGTCATTTTTTTCCCCCTGTGGGCACAATGGCACACATTAAAAATGAAATTTAGTTACTTCCTCTCAAAGTGTACACATACATAACACACATTTAAAACATCCTATATACAACATATGTGCAGACCTACACCCTTACATATAAGTAACATTAATCACTGTCCATCTTGAGTACGTAGTGGAAAGAGGAAGCTTGAGAGTTCACAAGGTTAATACTATAGGGAACAAAGCTGTGACTGAATCTGGATGTTCTGCTTCGGATACCACAGAGCCCCCTCCCCCCCAGACGCCAATTTGTGCGGCAAGATGTCATCCTGCCAATCATGTAGAGGTAGTCCTCGTCTTACAACCAGAAATGAGCCCAAAATTTATATTGCTAAGCAAGACAGCTGTTAAGTGAGTTTTGCCCCCTTTTACGACCCTTCTTGTCACAGAGACTAAGTGAATCACTGCAAGTTAGTAACATGGTTGTTAAATCTGGCTTACTGATTGATTTTGCTTAATCAGGTCGCAAAAGGGGATCACGTGACTCTGGGACACTGTGACCATCATAAATACGAATCAGTTGCCAAGCGGAATTTTGAATACTAGAGAATTTTGAATACTAGGGGAGAGTATTGTGCACAAAGTCTTGAGCTTCTGAAAGAAAGGCAGGATATAAGACTAGCAAAGAAGTAAAGAATGTGGTCTATTTGTTGGACACTTAAGAGTGTGGTACAAATCCAGTTTGCATGAACTATGGTTTATTCACAAAACCAGGATTACAATAATCATGGCTTACCTATGCCTCCCCTCAGCTCTCTAAAAATGATACAAAACACCATAACCAACTCTGGTCATTCAAATTCTGAGGGGATAGGGCAGGCATGTCAAACTGCTGGCCTGCAGGTCAGATGCGTCACGCTGAAAGCGCGCCCACCCCATTGCCTGTAATGGGGAAAAATTCCCGATATATCACGCAACATCACGTGATGTCGTGAGCTTGACATGCCTGGGATGGGGAAGGAAACCTCAGAGTTAATCCAGAATAAATAGATGTCATCTTTTTTATGAAATGAACAATAACATCTGAAGTCACAGATAAACTTGCTTGTCCCTTTACTTTTGTACACCTCCACAAGGAGGTGTACAGCAATCTAATTTCAACTGCAGCACCCCCTTCTGAGTTAAGATATGAAATATAAATTAAAAAATAAACTGGTTTTCGGGAGAGAAATGCCATAAATTGGCTTGTTTGTCATGCTAAGCCACAGTTTTGGGTTTCCATAGACAAGCCATAATTGGTTCCATATCCAAATTATAAACAGACCATTGTTGGTTCATGCACAAACCATTAATAAACCATAAATGGCTCCAAGCACAAACAATAGATAGACCACAGACGGATGTCTTTCATGAACCATACAAAAATCACAATTGACTTTGCAAACAGACCATAATCATCGGCAGGGCTCAGCACCTACTAAGCCAATACCAAATGATTATTGTTTGCTATGATGTACAAGTAGTTCTCAACTGATAGCTGCTCATTTAGTGACTGGGGTCAAAATTACAACAGCAATGAATAATGGGACTTAACCAGTCCTCACATGTGCAACTGATGCAGCATCCCTGCAGTCATGTGATTAAAAATGTGGTAACTTGGTATCCAGCTTGCATTTACAACAAGCACCCTAGGGTCACGTGACCACCATTTGCGACCTTCCCATCCAGCTTCCGACAAGCAAAGTCAATGGGGGAAGCCAGATTAACTTAAGAACCACACGATTTACTTAACAACTGCAGTGATTCGCTTAACAACCATGGAAAAAAGATTGTAAAATAGGGCACAGCTCATTACTTAACGACAGACATTCTGATCTCTGTTGTGGTTGTAAGTCAAGAACTACCTGTAATGAACTAGCCAAGGGGTAGGCAACCTTGGCTCTTTTATGACTCGTGGACTTCAACTCCCAGAATTCCTGAGCCAGCATGGCTCTGCTTGGAAAGTCTCCCTTTCCCCTCAGCATGGCTGGCTCAGGAATTCTGGGAGTTGAAGTCCACGAGTCATAAAAGAGCCAAGGTGGCCTACCCCTGAACTAGCCTATTGAAGCTTTTCCTGTTGAATTTCTACCTGGCTTGCAAATGTAGATAGTTCTGAGAAATGTCTCTCATTCCTATGGAACTTGGAGGTAGGACTGTGTACTTTCCCCTCCTTAGGACCAGCTGAATAGGTCCCAAAGCTGCCCCTTTCTCCAATCCCCACCAGATGCCTGCTATAAAAGAGCTCACCTATTTAATTTAGGGACTACCCTAGTCCAAATTATCTCTGGTCAGTCCATCGTAAAATCAGACAGAAGAGAAAAGGCAACGCTTATTTTTAAAAAAGAGCAATTATTTAAAAAAAATTGCAATACAGGAAGTCCTCGCCTTATGACCACAAATGAGCTCAAAATTTCTGTTGCTAAGTGAGACATTTGTTAAGTGAATTTTGCCCCATTTTCACGACCTTTCTTGTGAGTGAATCACTGTAGGTGCTAAGTTAAGAACACGGTTGATAAGTGAATCTCACCTCCCTATTGACTTTGCTTACAGAAGGTTGCAAAAGGGGATCACGTGATCACAGGACAAAACAACGATCATAAATATGAGCCAGTTACCAAGTGTCTGAATTTTGATCACGTGATGTTGCAACAGTCATGTGAAAAGCAGTTGTGTCACTTTTTTCAATGCTGTTGTAACTTTGAACAGTCACTAAATGACCATACATGTATTAAAATTATATAAAGATCTGACGGCCCATTTACCAAGGGGGTCATCCTGAGTGGTGATGCCCTGCATTTCAGTTGCCCTCGGAAAGCTACTGTCCACTGCTGGGACTTGAACCGGTCGCTCTGATTCTTCCTGTTGCTTCTTCTGGAGATATTTCTTACAGTCCTCCTCTGCAAATAGAAGAAATAAACAACTTTCAGAAACCAAGACTGAAACCATCCATAAATTCGGGGAGATGAGAGGGGATGAAGAAGAGTTAACAGGGACAAGCTCCCGTGGCATCCTCTAAGTCAGGGGTCCCCAATCCTGGATTGCAGCCCACGACCGGAATCAACCACGCAAGTGGCTGGCCGGAGTGCGCGTGCGTGTAACTCAACTTGTGCAAGCAGCAGGCTGGGAGGCATTTGCGCATGTGCATGCTGACCCACCACTGGCTCAAAAGCTGCATGCATGTGAGTACGCATGTGTGTCAGTCTGTTGCTCGCGCAACCTAGTTCCCCCCCCCCAAGCAGGGCCTCCAAGCCCCAAAGGTTGGGGACCCTTGGTCTAAATCAGGGATCCCCAATCTCTTCATTTCGACCCTTCATGCAATTTCAGATTGTCCCAAGCATATAAATAATTTAAATAATTTAATTAATAAGTTGTTTAATAATTCTTTCTTCCATTTGCAGAGGAGGACTGTAAGAAATATGTCCAGAAGAAGCAACAGGAAGAATCAGATTATTCATTCAATAAATAATTGAATGAATAATCCTATGAATAATAATACAATTGGCAGCTGTGATGGTATATAGTTGTCTATATAACAACAACAATGCAGGTAGTCCTCGATTTACAACAGTTCATTTAGTGACTGTTGAAAGTTACAATGGAACTGAAAAGAGTGATTTATGATTGTTTTTTCCACTTATGACCTATTCTGACACAAACTTAAAGTGATCTCTTTTAAATCCTGTCAGATAGTTAACTCAAAAGAAACGATCTTATAATAAACAAAATATATTTTAATGAGAAAGATTACTTGCATTCACGTTGTGATTGTTGTTGCTGGAAATACATGTTTGTTCATCTTTCAGATCCTTTCCTTAGGTAAGAAAATGTTATTGCTCTTCACACCATCTTTATGCTTATAGGGAGACCTTCCATGGCCCATGCTTCTTACAGACAAAGAGATTCCCATGTGGCTTGTGTCCAGGAAGTCTCCCAAAGACCTTTGGAACTCCTCCCACTGACCCATCCACATACCTAACATTTAACCCAATAACTGCCAGACCTTCCAACATAGAGCTGGGCCATAGAGCTATATGGGCCATAGAGCTATATGGGCCAGAACATGACCGTTGCAGCATCCCCGTAGTCATGTGATCAAAATTTGGATGCTTGGCAACGGACTCATTTTTCTGACAGTTGCAGTGTCCCAGGGTCAAGGGATTCCCTTTTGCAATTTTCTGACAAGCTAATGGAAAAGCCAGATTCACTTAACAACCCATGTTGCTAACTTAACAGCTACAGTGATTCACTTAATAACTGCGGCAAGAAAGATCGTAACATGGGGCAAAATTCACTTAACAAATATTTCACTTAGCAACATAAATTTTGGGCTCAGTTGTGGTCATAAGTTGAGGATTACCTGTAATGGTGACCCAAAACACCTGGAACACTGCTCTAACACCATTGGCATTGACAAAATCACTATTAGTCAATTGAAAAGTGCTGTTTTATTATATCCTAGTGATCCCTTTAACACTTAAAACACTTATGGTGTTATAAACTATTCCGAGTTACTCAGTGACAAGAGGGGTGGCATAGATGATAGATAGATAGATAGAGATAATATATACAGTAGATAGATATAGATAGGTAGATAGATAATAGAGATATAGATAATAGATATAGATAGATAATAAATAAATATAGACAATGCTTTTTTTCTAAAAAAAAAAAAAAAAGGTGCCGGAACTCACACACGTCATACAACCCGCCTTGCCTACCCATCCAAAAGGTTACATCCAAAAAAGGTGCCGGAACTCCGTTCTGGGCATTCTATGAGAAAAAAAAGCCCTGGATATAGATATATAAAGATAGATATAGATATAGATAATAGAGCTAGATAGATATAGAAGGATAGATATAGATATATAAAGATAGATAGAGATAGATAATAGAGATAGATATAGATAGATGATAGATAGATAGAAATAGATAGATAGATAAGATAGATTAAAAAGACCACCTTATAATATCTGTCTATCTTAGGTCCTATCCTATCTTAAACTCAATGGGATGGATAACAATGACAAATCTAATCTAAACATCTGGCTGATTGTGCAACCAACCACAATACAGCTAGTCCTCAACTTACAACCACCACTGAGATTCTTACATCCCTGTTCAGACCAGAATTTCTATCGTTAAGGTGGATGTTAAGTGACTTCAGACCCGATTTTACAACATTTGCAACAGTTGTTAAGTGAATCACAAGGCCGTTAAGCATATCTGCCTTCCTCCATTGACTTTGTCAGAAGCCAGCTGGGAACATTACTAAGGGAGATCACATGATCTCCAGGACAGTATAACTGTCATAATTACATATCAGTTGCCAACGTGCCTGAATTTTGATCATGTGATCATGGGGATGCTACAAACAATTTTAAGCGTGAGGATCGGTCACAGGTCACTTTTTTCAGTGCCATTGTAACTTTGAAGGGTTGATAGCAAGTCAAGGACTGTCTGTAAAAGAAGACCATTTTTCCTGGTAACTGGCTATCCAACTATGGGTGTGTTGGCAGTAACATTTACCTCAGCTTCAGGAATAAGGACTGACATGCATCTACATTTAGGGAAGAAAACCCAAATGCACAGGTATAGTATAGGGGGTACCTTGCTCAATAGTAGCAACTGTGAGAGGGACCTCGGAGTCCTAGTGGACAATCACTTAAATGTGAGCCAGCAGTGTGCTGCAGCTGCCAAAAAGGCCAACACAGTGCTAGGCTGCATTAAAAGAGGGATAGAATCAAGATCACGTGAAGTGTTAATACCACTTTACAATGCCTTGGTAAGGCCACATTTGGAATACTGCATCCAGTTTTGGTCACCATGATGTAAAAAGATGCTGAGACTCTAGAAAGAGTACAGAGAAGAGCAACAAAGATGATCAGAGGACTGGAGGCTAAAACATATAAGGAACGGTTGCTAAAATTGGGTATGTCTAGTTTAACAAAGAGAAGGACGAGGGGGGACATGATAGCAGTATTCCAATACCTCAGAGGCTGCCACAAAGAAGAGGGAGTCAAGCTATTCCCCAAAGCACCTGAAGACAGGACAAGAAGCAACGGATGGAAACTAGTCAAGGAGAGAAGCAACCTAGAACTAAGGAGAAACTTCCTGACAGTTAGAACAATTAACCAGTGGAACAACCTGCCTCCAGAAATGGTGAATGCTCCAACACTGGAAGTTTTTAAGAAGAGACTGGACAGCCATTTGTCCGAAATGGTATAGGGTTTCCTGCCTGAGCAGGGGGTTGGACTCGATGACCTCCAAGGTACCCTCCAACTTTATTATTATTTTTACAGAGACCAAAAACATTATTTGACCGCAATCAATAATTTATCAGCTCCCTATTGACACCCATGCATTTATCAGTCTTCTAGATAGTGCTATCAACCTTTGAGTGGTTAATATTAACCATTTTGGGGGACGCTGAGGTAGACCAGGCCATCAGATGACATCATGTCTCCCTCCCCATCTCTACACAAGTGAGGCCATATCACAAATGAGAAGAAAAAAAGGAAGACTGACATCTTTTCCCCGGGTGTTTTAATTGATATTACAGGTGGTCCTCGACTTGTGACGACAATTGAGCCCAAAACTGATGTTGCTAAGCGAGAAATTTGTTAAGTGAGTTTTGCCTCATGTTTTGACTTTTCTTGCCACATTTGTACAATGAATCACTGCAGGTGTTAAGCTAGTCACACTGTTGTGAAGCTAACCTGGCTTCCCCACTGACTTTGCTTGTCAGGTCGCAGCATCCTGACCCCAGGATGCTGCGACCGTTATAAATATGAGTCAGTGGCCAAGAATCTGAATTTTGATCATGTGACCATGGGGATGCTGAGGCGGTTGTTAGGTATGAAAAATGGTCATAAGGCACTTTTTTTTCCAGTGCCACTGTAACTTCAAACTCTTGTAAGTCGAGGACTATTTGTGTTTTAAAGAGATCATTTCTATCTTAAAATGACAGTTTTCAGCAGTCCAGGACAGGGATGTAAAAACTGAAACAACCCTAAAAAGAACAACTGTCTTTTCCCATTGAAGTCAACCATCAGGACTGGAGTGTTATGTTTTCCTATGCCTCTTCATAACCATTAAACCAGTCTTCCCTATTTCGGAAGCTCTCTGGAGGTGTGTGGACTTCCAGAATGCTCCCACTGGCCTACCCATGGCTAAGAATTTTGGCAGTTGAAACTCTCGCATATCTGGAAAAAACCCAGATCAGGGGAACATGGCACTTAAACCTGGACACCAGAAACATACCAGTTGCTCATGACAGTTTTAATAACTTGCATTAGTTGGGAAAACTGATTGACTGGAGATGTTTACTGTGAGACGACTACAGCAATCAAACAGGATGTGGTGGGGGATGGGTAAGCAGGAAATGGCAATGAAACACACTCACAAGGAAGTCTTTTGGCTTTTGTAGAAATTGCTTCCAATCAGATGGGAAGACAGCTTTAGGTAGCACTTAAGTTCTTCTCCACCCCCCACCTCCACCCACCCACCCCACTTCTGTCGGACAGGCAGGTATTCAACAGGGGGCACTTTCCCCAACCTCACTTGCCTTCATGGATAATAATAATAGTAAAGTTGGAAGGGACCTTGGAGGTCATCTAGTCCAACCCCCTGCTCAGGCAGGAAACCAGGATCCTAAAATAGAATACAAGCAGGAACTAATGCACAAGAGTTTTGCAAAACAGAGCAAACCACAGTTGTCGCCCCTTCGGAGCTGAGATGGGAGCCTGCCAATGCAAGGAGCTGCAACCGGGAGCGCTCATTGCAGGATGACTGCTGCGCTGGCCGGCTACAGCGCAGCGACCCGCTTCAACGGCGCGCCCTCGCCCCGTCGCTCGGACAGCTACCTTCCCCGTTCCTATCGGGCCGGGCGCTCACCAATGCTGGGTCCCAGGTCGGTGAGGATGTCTTGGCGACCCAGGACGCGCAGCAGATTCAGGAGGCGGCCCACCGTTGCCCCGCCGGGGCTCCGCGCCTGCCAGTCGTCCAGCAGGCGGCCGGTGGGGTTCGGCTGGGCCTCGAAGTGCTTGATCTCCAGGTATTCATAGCCCAGCTCCTCCGCCAGCGTCGTCCAGTCGGCCGCCACCGGGGCGCGCGGGTTGAGGAAGAGCGCCAGCCGGCGCCGCACCGAGTGATTCAGCGCTACCATTGGCAACGCTGCGCATTCCGACTTCTCCGTTTCGTCCCCGATGCGTCTGGTCACCGCCTCTCCCGCCATGGCCGGCCGCGGCTGGGTCTTGCCTGGGCTCCTTGTTCAGACGGGGCCGCTTTCGCAACACCTCCGACGGCGACAGGCGGAGAGATGGCCCGCGCCCAACCAGTTTCGCTTTGGGCGCACGGCGGCTCTGGGTTGCACCGCGCAGCTGGGGAAACAGAGCAGCTGCAGGACTGACGGGAGTTGAAGTCCGGGGACTTTCCCGCGAGGAGAAGCCACCGAAGACTTCCAGACGTAAATGAACTACAACACCCAGCATCCTTCGCTCGGATGAGCTGGCTGGGTTGATACTCTCAGGAGGGAACGAGTGAAATTCGCGCTTAGCGCAAGAAACAGAACAGAATAACAGAGTTGGAAGGGACCTTGGTGGTCTTCTAGTCCAACCCCCTGCTCAACCAGGAAGCCCTATACCATTTCAGAGAAATCGTTGTCCAGTCTCTTCTTAAAAGCCTCCACTGATGGAGCACCAACAACTTCTGTTGGCAAGTCGTTCCACTGGTTAATTGTTTTCACTGTCAGGAAATTTCTCCTTAGTTCTAAGTTGCTTCTCTTCTCTCCACTCTATAGTATAGAAGACGAATCCTTGGAGCTAAAGATCCTTATTTCCACTGCCGGTGCCAGGGAAATTAAAAGAAAATAGAGAATGGCTCTCTTTCCTTATAAAGAATGATTTGGGTGGGAATTAGCATTGAAATATAATTTACAGTTGGAAAGCACATTGCAACGTATGTGAATTCCACAAATCTGTTAAGGTTGGCAGTTCAAAGCTCTCCCTCTGGAGGCGTTTTAAATCAAGCCTAACCAGGGTTTAAGCCTGGGGTAGGCAACCTTGGCTCTTTTATGACTCGTGGACTTCAACTCCCAGAATTCCTGAGCCATCCATGCTGAGGGGGAAGGAAGAGTTTCCAAGTGGAGCCATGCTGGGTCAGGAATTCTGGGAGTTGAAGTCCACCAGTCATAACAGAGCCAAGATGGCCTACCCCTGGTCTAGGCCTAGGCCGCTTTATGACTCGTGGAACTCTCAGAATTCCTGAGCCAGCATGGCTCAGCTTCGAAACCTCTCCCTTTCCCCTCAGCATGGCTGGCTCAGGAATTCTGGGAGTTGAAGTCCATGAGTCATAAAAGAGCCAAGGTGGCCTACCCCTGAGTTACTAGGAAGATGAGGGGACTTCAACTCCCAGAATTCCTCTACCAGCATGGCACCCTATATCAGGAATAGGCAATTTTGGCTCTTTTATGACTCGTGGACTTCAATTCCCAGAATTCCTGAGCCAGCAGGGCTCAGCTTGGAAACTCTTCCTTTCCCCTCAGCATGGCTGGCTCAGGAATTCTGGGAGTTGAAGTCCACGAGTCATAAAAGAGCCAAGGATGCCTACCCCTGGTTTAAGCAAACCAGAGCTTAGCTGGATTGGGTCAGCAGAATTGAAAATATGACAATGAAGTAAATTGAGGAGCCTTAGTCTTCAATTTAATGAACACTCTTTTTCTTTTTCCAAGGCAGAATGACAACTTAAAAGCCTTTCTTGGGCTTCTTCAAAAATCTACATTAGACTTCTGTGGATCCTGAATGCCTTTGATCAGGGGTCTCCAAATGTGGCAGCTTTAAGACTTGGGGACTTCAACTCCCAGAATTCCCTAGGCAGCCATGATATCTGGGGAATTGTGGGAATTGAAGTCCAAAATTCTTAAAGATGCCAAGTTTGAAGATCCCTCCTTTAATAGATGTTTCAAGACATTCCTGAGCACCTAGATGGGGTGCTTCAGGTCCTTCCTCTTCAAGGTTATTTATAGTTTGAAACCATTCTTTGAACATTTTGATTGTCCACTTCAGAACTTTCCAATTCCAGGCTTTTTAAGGAATCTTGAAGCCATTTTTCGAGAACTGGTCTAGCTTCAGTAGAAGATGAGAGTCCTTCTAAAGATCCTTGAAGCCATTTCAGTGTGTTCTCCACAGGTCCTTCAGGATATTGCTTCCTGAGTCCATCTTTTAATTTTTCAAGCAAGCCCCCCCCCCTCTTTCTTAGGCTGCTTTGGACTTTTGTGTGCTTCAAGCCATTCCTGTACATTCGGATGGGATGCTTCAGGTCCTTCTTCTTGGAGATGACTTACGGACATTGTAGTAATCAGTGCTCAGTCATTGCAGGCTGCAAATATGGCCGCTCACACGCAACATTTTATTGTTTATATACAGTTTTACAAGCAGCAAAAGTTCTGCATGACAATAGCATTTCATTGGTTAAACTCCTAACCAATCCTTAAGAATACAGAAGCCAGAGGCACAAAACAGGGAACAGTTGGCAATAACATCTTGTTGGTGTGAGCTAGCTGACATCAAGCAGGCAAGGTCATTGCAGAAGCCTGCGTACTTTCACATCGCCACGGTGAAGTGAAGGGAGGAGATAGATCTAGAGAAGAGGCGCACAGGCTTTGGAGGGGCAGTTTTCTGCACATGACCTCTGCCTGGCCCCCACCTCTACAGGACATCTCTAGCCAATTGTCCACATCTTCCCTGGATGCTTCAGGAGATTCCTTCTGAAGATTTATCAGGAACGTTTTAAGCCATTCTGCCAAGGTGTGTCTTGATGCTTTATTAGTGATGGGAGGAACTCCCCCCCCCCCCGTTCGGTTCTTCCAGTCGGGATTCTCCTTGACGGCACAGTGCGGAAGAAATAGATCGTGAAGCCAGCTACCGGAAAGAGAGGTTTAATCACGAGGATCAAAGTTGAGTGACAATTCAGCTCGAGTCCCCAGCTAGCTAGACAGAATGATCTTTAAACAGGGTTTTTTTATACCTTTTTGTGGTTTCCAAATTTGTCATTTCTGATTGGTGAGTTTGAATCTGCTTTTCCTGATTTGCTGGTCAGTGACTATTGTTGGTTAAACTTCTTTGCTAATCCTGCCTAAAAGGTGTTAATTACTTTTATTGTTGTGTATTTGTTAATTCTGATTGTTGCTAGCTGGTTCCTCATTGTGTGTGTCAAGTGTTTGCCATTTAGCCTCAGGCTGCTGTTGACCCAGATTAGTTTGTCTTGGGGTTTTCCCAGATTATTCCATCGTTGGGGTGGGGAGGGGGTGTCCAGCTGTCATCATTAGAAACCTCTTTTAGGATTCCTGAAGCCACCCCAGTAGATTTTGCCTGGATTTTTTTGGATTTTTTGGTTTTCAAGTTATCTATAGAAGTTTTAAGCCAGACCTTCTTTAGCGTGTTTTCCAGCAATTGAGATTTCATCTTTTCCAGAGTTTTCCCCCCCTCATCTTATGGCTTTGTTTGCCAGATACTCACAAAGCATCTTTTTTGTTGTGATATTAACTGGTCTCTATCCATCAATGATTTAGAGCAGGGGTGTCCAACTCACAATGTCATGTGATGTGTTGCAACGTATCACAACCTTTTTTGCCATTACCAGCAATGGGATGGGCGCGGTTTCGCTATAATGCATCCAGTTTGACATCCCTGATCTGGAGCAGTCTTTTCTCACTTTTCTCTCTCTAGAAAAATCAGAAAATTAGATATGCAGCTGAATCCACAACAAAATATTCTTAGCAAACTCTAATGAGAACTGTTTGTTGTCAGGAAACTCTTACTCCAAAAGCAGATTTATTTTTTTTGCATAGGAGGGGTGGGGAGTTTAAAAGACCTACCTTATACATACCTTTTGAAAAGTCCCACTCAGATCCATGAGTTACTCCTAGTTATTCATATAGAGGATTACTAAGCAACTTTTCAATATCCTGTAGGTTACATGGGAAATTTATGATTCTTTAATGAAAGTGGAGTGGGGGGAGGGGGAAATTCACCATGCAGGAGACATTCTCGTTTTCCCATATTAACTCTATCAATTAAATTGTCTTTAGGAGTTATAGCTTATATTTCCCATTGCAAGAAAAGCATATATCGGACTGAATTCAGCTGGATTCAACTGCAAATAGGGCTTAGGCCAGTGGTGGCGAACCTATGGCACGGGTGCCAGAGGTGGCACGCAGAGCCCTCTCTGTGGGCACGCACGCCATCGCCCCAGTCCTAGGCCTTCAGCTGGGTTTTATCTCTGTCTGACAACAGGTCACAAATTATCCTGTGCGGTTTGCAAAATATCAAGATCAGGCTGAAATTAGCCCCTTATTTTTTTCCTTTCTTGAATAATCAAACTTGTTTTTTTAAAAAAATTAAGTCAAAAACACTTCTTGTTTCCCCCAACCTTGTTTTAGGCAATGGAATTCAACACAAAATATGTATAATGTATGTCCAAGGGAGGGAGCTAAAGAGAATTTAATAGGAAACTGGAAGAGAAAATCAGTGTTGCTATCTAAAATTTTCTCACCTGCTCAGTTCTTCCTCAAAATATTCACAGTTACCGTTTTTCTCTACATATTCACACAAGCTCCTTGTTCTCACGATGGAGCATTTCTCTGTCCAACAGGAGATTTCAAATTATCATTGTCTTTCTGTAAATTATGAAGGTCACCATGAAATTAGTTCCCTTATTTTTTTTCTTACTTGGGTCAGCTATTTTAAATTTAAAACATTAAAAATTCCTTCATGTAGGGATGTGTTTATGTATTTATATATTGATATATTTATTTATGCAATATAATTCAGTATTGTTATTTTTATTACAACAGCCAGCAATCTCAGTTTACAGGAAACATTGCTTTAATCAATTATTGCATATGTTAGAAATGTTCAGTAAAAGTGACAAATCAATAAACTTTCCCCTGACTTTAGCTATGTCTCCATTATATTGTTAAAAGATTTGATTAAATACTTCAATATTATGGTGAATGTCACTATGTTTAGAAGAAATGGATTATTTAAGAACAAGTTAATGATTTTTACTTCAGTATTTAGCATTGCTTAATCTATTTATACTACTAAGGGGTCTTTAGATGTAAACAACTTTTTTCTTATACATTCCACAAAAGATGTGAACCAATTCAAAATACAGTAATTTCCGGAAGCAAAGTAAAGTTATGGATTCAAGATATGGGAAAATTTCTCACTTCTCACAAATGCCAAGATGTCAATATATCCCAACAAGCTGCTTTCTCAGAAGTAAGTCAAGTACCTTGTTTATGAGGGATTATGAGATAGCAGCAGTATTAATAAAATGTCACCCTGAGAGGCTCTATTTAAAACAACAACTGTTGCTATTCCCAGATTA